CATGGCAGGTCGGTTGGAATGAGTTGATCTTTGGCATCCCTTCCAATTCTAACCATTCTATGATTCTGTAAAAGCCCCTGGTGGTAGGGATGGCATGCTGTCCTCAGCAGTCCAGCCCTGCCAGCAGTAGTGGTGGCTTTGCTGCTAACTTGGATCTACTTACTTCAGTAGAAGCTTCTCTATGCCTGACCCCCACAGAAAATGGAGAGGAGCACATTCTTTCCCTTTTGCAGCCATTTTTTAACCAACTGGAAGACATTTATCCCATCTGTATTCTGTGCCTCCCCTGGAAGTACTGCCTTAGTCCATAAACAGAAAAAAGTTGAAGGCCACTGCTCTGCACTAACAAATATTAAGCAAATCTCTCATTCTCTGTGAATGCAGCTTGTGAAATCATTCCTGTTTTCTGGACTTTCTTCTGATTCTCAGTCCCTCTTTCCCAGCTGCAGTTTGCCATCCCCTTCCCTGGGGCTGAGTGCAGCCCCCTTTCTGCCTTGTGGCTTGGTTTGCTTTTTCTGCACTTCTGCACTGTTCACACAAAAGCAGTTCTGTCTTGCCTGGCGCCAGTCTCCCCACAGTCCTGGGAAGCAAGGCATAATCCTGCACCCCCTAGCAAAGCCATGGCATGTCCCCAGTGCCATTATGGAGGTCAGGCAATGGGCCTACTTGTGCTGCCAAGCACAATTTGATGCCTGCCCAAACATAAACTATACCTGGTCAAATGTCTTGGGACTTAGATGCTCACCTTTAATCTGCCATTTACCATTTCTGCCTCATTTAGAAACAGCTACAATCTCTGTGCAGCTTGCAGGAAAGCCTTACACTAACAATTCAAGACTTTACAAGTAGTATGAAGATGGCAGAAATACTACAACTGCCTTTTCCCAGAGTTTTCTGTGCCTTACATATTCTTTTCTGGGAAAATGTATTCTAATGGTGTTGTATGAATTTACAAATACAAATTGAGAGTACTGCACCAGAAGAGTATTTGCAGTGCTCTGTGTGACAGGGATCAAGGCGGGCAAAGTTCATGTGCTCAGTGTCCTCAAGCTGGGACTAGAGAAAGGTCTAGTAGTTTTTTAAAAGTTAATCCACTTTTGTTACCCATTAATGTACAACACCTTTCACTTTTTTCCAGTACTGTCTTTTTGCTGTAACAGTGTTAGCAAATAGTTTAAATCAATGCTCCAGCAACCTGAATGCTCTCTTGCTCAGGTTTTATGGGGGAGGTGGGCCAATCCCAGTAGTAATGTCATGGTGTCTTTAGCAGTATTACATAAAATTGTCCTCAAGGAATGGAAATGCACAGTGATGCTGAGCAGAGCACTCCTGTATCTGCCCAGTATCAAAGAACCAAAATGACTGCCTTTGGGGCAGTAAATCCAACCAAAACAAGATTTCACGGAGAAAGATGCAAAATACAGAAGATAAATGTTTGCTGACCACTGGTGCTTGGGAGAAGAGTGATATATAACTACTAAAGCAGTGAAGCCTAAAACTAATATAACTTTACTTTTCAGTCATCCCTAAGATAAAAATGCCCTGGCACCTCTTGTCATCCCAGCTGTGTATGCTGGAGTAGTGTCAGGCCACATCACCCAGCCTGTAAAGTGGATGCAATACATCAGTCCTCTTCTTACTGATCATCCTTAATATTTTAAACCAACTGAGAGATAATTTCTGAAAGATACCACATGACAAGGAGCTAAACATTATAGTGGTGCTGCACTAAAAGGCTCTTTTCAGGAATATTTTGACTGATTGATTGTGATCCCCAGCTGAGGGACAGCCTCCTGGGCATTCACTGCAGTGTCTTGGTATTCTTCCTTTCTTGTTTCAAGTGAGTCTCTTTCCCATACCTTTCTTCCAGGGAAGAACAACTTCACAGAGCAAAATTGGTGAAATGGTGGCATCTGATGGCTGGTCTCAGATGGCAAATGCCAGCTCATGCACCCTGACTTCTGTCACTGACCTTTGCTTTTCACTCCAAACCAGAAAAAACAGTATTGTGAAACATCAGAGACCTCTGAAACAAAAAAACCATCTTTCACCACCCACACAGCACTGTCAGCTGTGCCAGATCTGCCCCCCCCCCCCCCCCCAAATGCAACATTCACTCCTGAGAAGCTAAGTCTGGAGAGAGTTTGGCTTTTTCATTTAGTTTGATGCTTTTGAGACAGCATTATACACCAGAGATGCATCTGCACGTAGTAGCTTGGGCCATTTGGGGTAAAAGTGAGAAGAGTGTCATGGAGGGAATGTAACTCTGTGCTGGGATAGGAATAGGGATGATGGTGTTTTTCTTTACAGAGAAACAACAAGCAGAAGGAATTAACAGGGTAATAATTGAGCTTCTTAGCACTTTCCTACAAGAGACACATATTCCACATTTAAAAGCCTTGGGAGGTCTTTCTTCTTTTTTTTTTTCTTTTTTTTGAATGTGAAATATGGCTGTAATGAACACTGGGTCTTCCACAGAAGACAGCTGGACAGCAGCAGCTCATTTTGGAAAGCACATCCCTTCCTTTTTCCTTGCTCAGCTGGCTCCAGGGTCTGCTCTGCAGCCCAGACCAAGCATCCCCCTGCCCAGAGGTACCCCTGCTCCTCACCTATCCTGGAGCCCCCTCTCCACTTGCACAGCTGTCGGGGCAGGGCTGAACCATGGCCTTGCCATAATGGGGTTAACCTTAAACTGGTTTGCTCAAGATCAAGCAGCCAGAGAGCAGCAGCTCCTAGAGGAAGCTGGCTGTGTGTCTGGCACTCACAGGATGCCAGGCTGCAGGATCTGAGTGTCTCAGGAGAGGCTGTGACAAAAGGCAGACCATTGTGCCCAGCTTTCCTCCATGACTTCAGGGGAGCAACTTGCTTTTATTAGGAAACGGAAACCGAGCACCTTATCTAATCCCGGGGACAGGCAGCTGGGGCCTGAGGAAAGACAGTTGCTTTGTGAAGGTCTGCCAGTAAAATCATGAGATTGAAAACCCCAGTATACATTTAAATAATGCACTTGGGAAAATGCCACAGCTGCCTTGTGTGAGGTGCTTGAATGAGAGATGCATATGTGGTAGAGGGAAATTTCTGATGCACAAAATCTCTCACTGAGGCTTTAGTGCCTCAAATCCAGCACTCCAGGAGTGCAGCTTTAGAAGTCTCAGGCCCAGCTTGCAAAAGTCGAAATCCTCTTTGTATCTCTCCCACTCAGTCAATCCTTCTAACAATAAATGTAAGTCTCTCAGCACTGATGCCCTTCCCTGCTGCTGGGAGGGGGAATGTAGCTCACAGACCCATGGGGGTGTAATCACAGGGCTCCCTGCTTGCACCATGTCCCCAGGACAGGGGAGGGGAGCCCCAAAGTGTTCATGTGTTCTGCACACCTAAAGGAGAATCAGATGATATTTTACTTCTCCTTCTCCATAGCAAATACAGAGAGTCACCAAGCTGAGAGTTTGTGGGAATTGTCATGAGATGTGTGGAAGAGTGATACAGTGTAGAAATTCCACCCAGGATTTTCTGCTTCAGGTTCTCAACTTATACCTGATATTTCAAAGCCATCTTTAGAAAAACCCCTTATCTTGACTGTGGAGGTAACAAGTCTTCCTTAGAAAAATTTTCATATGATGATTGTGAATTAAAGGTGCACTCTGTGCTTCTTTATCCATCAGAACTTTTCCCTTGGCCTGTTGCCAGCGCCTGCTGCTCACCCAGGCTGAAATTTATACTCATGCAACCCAAAGCAAAGAAAACAAAAGAGACTCACTGCTGATGCTGTAAGCTCTGCTGACAGAAAAATAGTGTTCAAGGCTATGCCATGTCCACATTTATCAGTTTAGTAGGTCATAAACTCATCTCTGTAAAGTCTTAGATTAAATCCTGTGGAGGGCAACCTTAAGGATAAATTGAATTAAATAAAATCAGATTTATACAGCTTTAGGCTACTGAATGCTTCTTTCAGTCTTCCCTGCAGATGCTGGATGTATTGCTTTGGATCCTTCATGGAGTTAACACTGTAGTGATCCATGCCCATCAATGGGATGATACTGGTTTACACCAGATGAGGATCTCATCTGTAGCACTGTCTGTCCATCTCACATTTGGTTTTGTACTGCAGTCAGACTGTAACAGATTTCTTAAAATGCATTTAAACACTGAAGAAAACAGACTGGAGGCATGGTGGCACTTCCCCTAAGTCAAGGAGAACTTGGAGCCTCTCTCCACATGGCATATCTGATCGAGACGTGTCTGTACACACAGAGATGTGATGGCATGAACAGATCTTCAGTCCAACAGGAGTTTTGCAAGGCAGCCCTTGACTGAGGAGCATCTGATGAAAGGCCAGAGGGGCCATGGGGGCCACCCTGGAGGGGAGAGCGTTCCACGTGCTGCATGTCCTGGCCATGGGGTTTGCTTACCCAGTGTTTTTCTCCCCAAGCAGGTCGTGGTTTCTGGCCTCAGGTCACAACGTCATGACCTTGTGTCATGCTAGCTCAGCCAGCTGGTTTGTGAGGAAGGAAATAAAACTTGGCTTCTACCACATCCCTGCCCAAGCTCTGCCCCTTGGTTGCTCATGGGCACTAATTATGAGGGAGGCTCTTGCTCTGCTGCTGTATAATTATGCAGAGCACAGTCCAAGTCTTAATATAGGGCTGAGGCCTTAATATAGCTCTGAGTGAACTGCTTTGAGTTTTCTCCTGTTCTTTGAAATTATATTTAATCTTGTACCAAACAGTGGAGCAGCATCCTAGCAATAGAAGCCATATGGAACATGAGGTGGACACTGTGCCTCGGCTGGAGCTGCTGCCCAGGAGCTCTTACAGGAGGTTGATGTCTTGGTGCCTTTGTTGTCTTTGGGTTCTGAACTCAGGGTAGCGAGTTCAGGAAACTGCTGCTTTCTCCACAGCAGTCAAAAATTTGGGTTTGCAGAGGAGCAAGGTGGGTATGCAGATTTTGGATCATGTGTAGAGGCAGTGTAGGAGGAGGCAGGATGCTGACTTTGTCCTGTGTTAGAAGCAGCTGCAGATTACTGGAACATCAATTTCAGCGAAGAGTGTGCCACCCTTCCCTCCGTCGGAGCTCTCCTGAGCTTGGCACACTTGACGCAAAATCGCCGCTTTCCTGGTGCGCCCCAGCCCCCGGAGTGCCAGGATAGCCAGGATGTGCTCCTTCCTGCAGAAACCAAACAAGACCTGGCTCAGATCTGGCCAGCAAAACCAGCACAGAGCAAGTTGGTTGTTGTGAGCAACAAACAGCTGTGGTGGAGACAGAGCAAGGCTATAGCAAAGTGCCAGGGACTGACCCCTCACCACACTGGAGGAGCCACCAGGATGGGAGTCTGCAGCCTCTGGAGGTGCCAAACCAGCGAGCAGCAGCTCCTGCCACACCAACTGGTGGGACAGCCTCCTGCTGCTGGTGCTGCAGGGAATTTCCTCCTCTGTCTCCACATCCGTGATGCCCTTTGCTTGTTTCCCAGAGTGGCTGAGGACCTTTTGTGTAATGATTATTTTGAGATGAGTAATGGAAGGGCTAATATTTAGGAAGCTGATAGACACTAATTAGATTAGAGCTGGAAAGCCAACTTGGAAACATACCCTGTTCCAGTAATCTCTGTGTATACAAATTCAGCAATGGCTCTGAGAGCTCAGGGGAAAAATTAACAGGGACCTGAACAGGAAGCAATGCAGGTCCAGCAGGTTCCGCCTCATTTTCCGAACTTCATTGTTAAAATAATGTTACTCAATAATGGAAAAGCAGAAATTAAATAAACCAAGAGGACAAGCCTTAAAACCTGGCTTGGGTGTGAAGCTAATGATGAAAAAGTAGCACAAATCACAGCCTTGTAAATGGCTTTTCTGACTGGAAATTTGTTTTCAAATAACTGTCATTGATGACTAGCCATTATTTACCTCCCCCATCCTTCCCAGAACAGGCACTGCCTCTTTCAGCTTTGACTGGCCACTGGGATTAAACCCTTATTGGGGTTTATTTATTTGTTTGGTTTTGTTTGTTTTTTTGTTTGTACCTATCATTTTTGTAAGATAGGGATGATCACCTAGGAAATTGCTCAGGAACAATTGTTCCTTTACATGTCCGTGTCTTGAATTCCCCCACACAGATAAGTCTGAAGAATATCTGAACCACCCAAGTTAAATCTAGTTATGAAAAATTTTGAGCCTCAGTTTTGGGGAGAGGTGAATATATTTAATGTGATATTTTTTCTCAATATTTGAGGGTCCACTACAATATTCTGGCAATTAGTTAAATCTTATGGAGTATTTTGATTATTTTGATTTTCAGTGCTGAAACTTTTGGCGCTTTTTGTTGTGGTTGTTTTTTTTCCTGAAATTACTATGATGAAATGGAATTTATTGCAGTCTGTACTACTGATATTCATTCTCAGTGGTTGAAAGAAGAGCTGCAGAAGAGAAGGTAACTTCTGATTTGCAGCTGCTTAGCCATGCACAGAGTTAGTCACTTTCTTTACTTTTCCAGGAGTTTTAAATTTTCCAGATGCAGCCTTGGAACAGAAAATGGAAAGTACAAAAGAAAGAATTTGTAATTTATTCCAAAATTTAATGGTTGTGTTGAGGCTGTTTCAGAAATTGCAGCTGAACTGTGTCAATGGCTGCCACACTTTGAGGTCTGGGCCTGGCAACAGGAGACAAACTGTTTGCTCCAAATCTGGAGCCTGCAAATTGGCAAACAGGGCTGATACTGGTGATGCAGGAGAAAGCAAACTGGAGCTTCACTGTGAAATAAAGTTCATTTAGACCAATAAAATGGAATTCAGTGATAGAATGCATCGGGATGGTTCAAAACTGTTTCAGGGGAGTTCTAGACTTGACATTATGAAGCATTTTCTAAATGAGGTGCTGGAGCGGGCTTCCTAGAGAGGTAGTTGATGTCCCAGGCCTGTCAGTGCTCAAGAGGCATTTGGATAATTTACATTAACAGGCCTTTAATAATGCAATACATTAACTTTTGGTCAGGCCTGAAGTGATCAGGAAGTTGGACTGGATTATCACTGCAAGTCTGCGATGGTGTTCACAGGGGTTTTCAGATGAGGGAAGAGATGAGGAGTTGACTTCATGTTTCAGAAGGCTTGATTTATTATTTTATGATATATATTACATTATACTAAAAGAATAGAAGAAAAATTTCTCATCAGAAGGCTAGCTAAGAATAGAAAAGAATGAATAACAAAGGTTTGTGGCTCGGACAGAGAGAGAGAGCCAGCTGTGCCGTGATCGGCCATTAATTACAAACAAGCACATGAGACCGATCACAGATGCACCTGTTGCATTCCACAGCAGCAGATAACCATTATTTACATTTTGTCCCTGAGGCCTCACAGCTTCTGTGAAAATCCCAAGGAAAGGATTTTCATGAAAAGATGTCTGCGACACAAGTCCCTTCCTAATAGACTGAAATAGTTCTATTCTATTCCATTCCATTCCATTCTAAAATGAAAAGGCTTTGAAGGAAATTTGTGTGCATTATATGATACAGCACACAGGGGAAAAAGTAAAAAGTATGCAGCCATAAAGAGAGAAAACTAAGTTGGGATTCTCACTGTTGCTGGCATCCTGATCTCTAATGTGTGGCTACCCACAGAGAGAAGCTGAAGATCTGGTGGTGTTTGGGATGGAGCCCAACAGTTCTGGGATCTGCCACTTCACATACCTGATATCTGGATAGTCCTGGCACAGCTCCTTGACATATGCCTTGATCTTGTCTTTTTTCTTCTCCCCAGTGATACTGGCAATGTGATATATGACAGGGAGGAGCCAGTCAGCTTTGGAGCCCTGTGAGCAAAGAATCACATGGGGACATCAGGGACAGCAGCACCTGCTAAATGCCTTTTTCCCTGCGGGGAGAGCACGGCAGTGGGATGTACTGGAGTGACCAGGACTGGTGCAGGCAGGACAGGCTGCCTCAGGCAGGCGGCAGGGGGCTGGGTGGCAATGGCAGGGCACCCCTGGGGGCTCTCCCAGACCTGACCCTGCCATTCCCGATTCCCATGAGCACCCAAGCGAGCCAGACCCTGAGCAGGGCATTGTGGCTGTGGTCCAGCATAGCAGTGGTTGCCAGAGACTTCACCTCCTGCTGCCTGATAGTTTCATGTGCCTCATTTCTGAGAGGGGATTTAGTGCCCTGGATGCCTGACTTTCCATAAAATCCAATTAATTCAACTTTGATTTCCCTGAAAATCCCAGACTGTTGCTGTGAGAGATGGAGATGTTAAAGGTTAATGACTCAACCAACTACAATCATTGTTTTGACCAACAGACCCCTAAACTGCAACAATCAAGTCTTGTTGCTAGATCTACAGGTGATGATACCTTTCTCTCTGCTATCTGCTTTTATCCTTTCTTTCTTTTCCTTATATATTTTTAGTGATATTTTTATACTTTTATAATGTTATATTACTATAGGTAATAACCAAAATGGCTATATACCTCCTTTCCATTGTAATCAAATTGTTTCAAAATAAACCAGCTATATACACACACACATCTATCTATCTATCTATCTATCTATCTATCTATCTATCTATCTATCTATCTATATCTATATATCTCACACCAGTCATTCAGTGTTGTGCCGCTCTAATCTGGGATTTATTATGGGAACCTCAGTTACCCCACCTTCATGGTTGGGTTGTAACAGTTGTCCAGTCACAAAACACTCAGACTGCCACCATTTTCTCCCCACACCCTGCTGTGCAGGGACTGTGTACCCAGGTGGAACTTCTCATGGGACTCAACTCCATGAGCTGTATCCAGGGCAGGGATCCTTAGGTGACAAAGTGCATCCCATGGTCTGAGGGAACAGGCCCAGGAAGAAGCTGCCATAGGGTGAGTGTGATGAACCATGAGCACATGAACCACCCTATGCAGAGCTCCCTGAGAACTCATTAAAACACCTGGTGCTGCCATCAGAGAGCTGCTGGCTGAACATGCACAAGCTGCCAATGCAGAGAAGCTGCCAGGCTGGAAACCCACACCATGAACCTGCAGTAACCATCCTGCTCACTCTTTTCAGCACTTCTATGTTTCTTGTGGCTTGTCCTCCTCAAGAGGTGGTCTCTGCCTGGTCTCTGTGAAGCCAAGTGGGAAAACTGCACCTCTGGGAGTGGGGCACCCAGGGATGCCAGGAGACAGCTCCCATACCTGATCAATGAGTGCATTGTGAATGATTGCAGCTTCCTGGCTCATCTTTCTGCTCACTTGCTGACGTGTGTCCGTGTTCATTTTCCATCTGGGTTTGATGATCTGTGTGACATATTCCTTGACCACGTATTTATGAACTTCATGTAGAAGGTCCTGGTTAAAAAGAAGCAAACCTCATGGGGTTTTTTGTCCATTCAAGACCAAGGCAGTGAGAGAGAGCAGGGAAAGTTCTCAGGTCTTTGGCAGCACCTGAGGGCATGGAGGAGGTACAGGAAGGCAGCACAGCATCAGCACACACTCACTCATACCTGCAGCCCCCAGAGTTATAAAGAGCAACCACTGTTGCAGAGGAGTCTGCAGGTCTCACCACAGCCTGAAAATGATGGTGTGGCCCCTCAGCATTCCTGTGCCCAGGTGTGGGACTGGCTGCCTACCTGCCCCAGGGGATCCCTCATGTGCTGCAGGTGCTCGGAGAACTGCGAGACTGCCGACGCCAGAGAGTCCGGCCTTTCCGTCGCCAAAATCCAGTTCTTGGTCAGGATTTTCTTAAGGAGTGGCTGAAAAAAGACCAACTCGCTGATGGCACAGGTATGTTCAGAGTAGCTGATGATGCCCTAGCTGAAGGCACCCAGCTATAGACCTGATCTAGGCTTGAACTGAAAGCACAGAGCACCCCCTCTGCATGAAGGCACACGAGGAGCAGGCTGGGTTTCTCTCTCCACCCCAGGCAATTCACACCCATGTCTCCCCTTCCTGGGTAGGCATCCCAGTGCAGAGAGGAGAAGCATCACACCCTGAGCAAGAGATGTTTTGGCATTAAAGGCTTATTTAGGATACCTCATTTTCTTGCTCTGTGCCACCTTCTGATCCACCAACTTTATTTCTTTAGGTAAATAAGTTTTGTTTCTTTAATGTATTGGGGAAGAAAGAGATGAGAATGTTAATCACAAGCAACTCAGGCATGACTAGAACAGGCTGTGGTGGGCAACCATATATGCCAGTGTTACATGGAAATAAAAATTCAGTTAGTAGTGAATCTCTTGGAAATTAGCTCAGTAACCCATCACATCTACAGCATTTTCCATAAGGAAATCAAGCTCTTTGTGTTCACAGTCCTTCCAGGAGGCTCTCTGTACTCCTGCAGACCTGCATGAAGTCTTGCTGGGATTTTCCTTCTGCTCCTTGCTCAGATGTGGTGGTGGGGGAATGGCAGCTGGGAGCATCTCCAGCTTTATGCCTCATGGTTAGGGATGACATGGGACTGATGTCACTGTTTCCCACCTGTCCTGGGTACAAGGTACTCTGACCAAGTGTCCTTAGCAGGTTATTTTCTTTTGTTGGGTCCCTAGAGCTAATGTATCTTCATATAGAAACAGCAATATCTGCTAAAGACTTCTGGCACCTGGAAGACCCTTCCCTAAAGGCCAAATGCAAAATATCCTTTCTCTGGCATGTCCCTTTTTCTCTTCCCCGCTCTCATGATCTCTGTCTTTAGACTCCTGGCAGTCTCCTTCCCAATTATCTCCCCCCTTGCTGTGCTCCCAGCCTGCCTGAGAGCTGTTTAGAAATGCTTTGATTCAGTCTCTCTCAGTTCTCACGACATTTCAGCTCTCTTGCTCAATGCCTTGGCTTGGGGCCTTTCCTCCTCTGCTGCTTAGGCTCCAAAACAAGATCTGCAGTCACTGGAAAGTCCCCTTGGCCAGGAGGGCTTGGCTTAGGTTGGAGAAATTCCATGACTGTCCTAGTTTCTGGAAGTTATGTTTGGGGATTTAGAAAGTGAATTAGAATAAGTGAAAAGGGGTGGGACCAAAGGCTTGATTTCCCCCATCTCTTCTATAATACCAGCTGGAGCTAGCAGACCCCAAGTGGCTGAGAGCAGAAAGGTTCATCTACAGCACCTGAGAAGCACAAACTTCACTGCAGAACATTGCCTTTTAGACCTCCTAATACAAGTCAAATTTTATCAGAGTTTTATCACTTGATACAAGACCTTTAGCATTCTCATTCTGGAACAATCAGTCTTTTGTCACCATGGGAACAGCCTGAAAAATCACCCCTACCGGAATGAATTCTGTCCTATCTGAAGAGGTTTCTGACAGACTGTGATGGTAGATCTATGAATCAGTAAGTCAAAGTCCTGAAAAATCCAAATTATTTGATAGAAGGAAAAGTGTCCCAATGGTGGTGTTCAGCTGGCCTCTCCCGTGCTTCACTTCAGATAAAATTTTCCCCACTGCTTTGCCTGAGACTGGAAGCTGCTAAATATCCTTTTCTTTTCATTGCTATTAACAGCTTGAAAAATGTATCATTGTTCCTAGAAAAAAAATCCCAGGATGCTGGAAGTGTTGCTTTTTAAGGGGGATTTCCACAGGTGTTAAATACAATTTGGAGGGACCATATATGTCATGGGCTGCAAAATGAGGAGGTTTAGCTGGTGAGACAAGGGAAGGGCAATGACCCTCAGCTGCTGCACATAGCCCTTATAATGAGGAAATAATGTGGCCAAGATCCTCTTACCTGTGTTTTTGTTCTTAATTTTGTTAAAAAAATATTTGTGAAGTTCCTTGTCAGAGCTGCCAAAATCTTCTGCAGTTCTTCAGTATCGACTTTAAACGCTGTTTCCAACCCTGACCTACAGAGAGACAGAGAGTGCCAATGAGTTAAGGTTAAAATGTAAACTATTACATGGCCCTAAGCATGTTATCTGGATTGGCATGTTGGATATTATTTTAAAATAAACTTGTGTTTCTATTACTTCCTCTTGGAAACACTTACTGAGTCAAAGTAATGGCTCTTTTTGCACAATCCTGTTCACTGAAAATTAATCATAGATGAGTAACTGTGGTGAAAAATCCCCTCAGATTTCCTCATCAGGTGCAGTGACAGTGCAGCCATGCAGAGCAGTTGCATAGGCCAGTTGCTTTTTCACTTGAGCAACATCTCTGCAAAATGATTTCCAGGTACCTGGGAGAGAACTGAGGGCTGTGGGCAAAAAGTAAATAATAAAGCCAGAGAAGGGAAATCTGCTGGCCCTGTGTCCCCCAGAGCCTGATTCACTCCACACGATGTCTATCAGCATCAGCAGGGATGGTAACTACAGGAATGGAAACCTGTGGAATTTCCTAAGGACAGTGCATACTTCTGCAATGTTTCACCTTATGAGAAAGAAAATTCTGAGAGGTTAATGAAATTCTTTGTGTGTGTGTGTATGTGTGTGCTTTAGGGGCATTGTGACCTCCTGGCTTTCTTCTCACTTTCCATCCCTGTCCCACTGTAACATGCTCGGTGTTGGTGAGGAGGGGAACTGAGGCAGCACCACCACAAAAAAAAAGGCATCACCTGTGATGCCCGAGCATCCCTGGATGTGCCACATCCACTGCTGTAACCGCAGAGAACAGCAGGTTCCTGTCACTGCCCAGATTTATATGTCTGAGGCTGCCCTGGCAGGACTACAAGGCACCCAACACCATCCCTCTCATCCCAGGCTGGAGTTCAGGACTGTAACTCCGATTAAACACCTGAAGTCTGGGTCCAGCATCCAAAAAAGTCGTGCTGTTAGGACACCTACCTCTGCCCCACAAGTCATCACCCCAGGCTGATGAATGTTTAATTGACTCAGGAATAAACCCATCCCCCAAACACTGCCAGCTCCCTGCCCGGGGCTGGCGTCTCCCTTCAGCCGCTCTGCATTGCCCAGCAGGGAAGGGGCAGCACTGTCCCGCCGGGGCAGCAGGAGGCAGGGAAAGCCATTTCCCTGTGGAGGTGAGCATTGCTGGAGAGACCGTGCCATCTAGAGACGAGCTGGCGGTAGTGCTGCTGCGGCTGGAGCCGTCGGCTCCTGCGAGACACAGCACGAAATCCCCTCCATCCCCCGAGTAATTCTTGGCATATGCGTCCCTGCCGGAGCGGTGCAGCAGCAGGGGCTGGAAATCACACCCCGATCTTTCAGGTGGCCAGAGCCCACGCACTAATTCTGTGGTGTTTTACCGGGCTGACAAACAAAAGTATCACATCTGCGTGGCAAAGATGTCCCCAGATGCTGATGAGCACCTGGACCTCAGCACGGGGCTGATGGAGCAGATCTTGGGACATGCAATCACTGCACCATGCTACTTATGGGGTGAGTGCTGGATCTTTGACAGTCAGCCTGAGGATACCTGTTCTTCAGAGGCACTTTCCAACATGTGGCTTGAAGTAACTAATTCATGCAAAGCCCTGGAAGTTCCAGATGCCAGCAGCAATGGCAGGCATTTATTTTTGGGTTGAATGCTTTCATGGAATCTCCTCCAGCCCAGTGCCAAAGGCAGCCCTGAGGCCATGTTTCTGAGTTTATTCTGCTAACCTCCAGAATAAAACATAAAGGAAAAAAAACCTCCCTTGAGAATAAAAAAGATGCTCAGAAAATGAGTTCAAAACTCTCTTACAAGCACTGCATCCATCCATATTTCTGTCTCTTCACCCTTGTGGCTTTTATTTGCATCCCTTGGGGGAAATCCTCCTGTGAGATTAGAAGGGCTGGAGACTGAGCACTCACCAGGGCACCTCAAGGAGAGTTTGGTCTTTCCTTTCCAGATCCTGCCACCCCCCAGACCCCAGAAACCCCAGTGGCTTGGGGGAAGCAGACTTACACCAGGTCATGGAAGCTGTTGATGTAGGCAACAAGGTGGGGCACAAAGCTGGGGCTGTCCTGGGCAGTGCTCCACGCCATGAACTCCTGCTCAAACCTGTAGGAAAATACAGCCAGGCATCACTAACAGTGGGGCACTGAGAATGCCCCATCTTCTGCGTACATGGTGGTGCCAGGAGACACCTGTGGCTGGCCCAACCTGTCCCCTCTGTATGCAGACAAGTTTTTTCCAGCTGTCATAACAAGTGTGTGCAGTGGAGGGAATAGAAGGCAGATAATTGTGGGTTTAGGATGTGCTCGCTTGAGCAGGTACGCAGCACTTTTGGAGAGATGCCAGGGATGTTGGGAGGCCAAATCTCTGACTTTTCCTCATGCTGAGGGTTTAATTGCAGGTGTGGTACACAGGCTTATAAGTCTGAGCTTTCATTTTCCTGGCTTTTGGGGCAATATATTATGTGCCTTTTGAGAACACAGGGCTGATTTTATAACAGAAGATGTATTAGGAATAGGGCAGCACACCTACCTTCCCTCCCCCCAAAACCTCACTATGGTTTTTAGGTAGTTGGATTTTTTTGTAGCACCAATTTCATGGGGTTGACAGCTGTTTCACAGCCAGATCCATGCTGAAGGCAGGAGGCTCTGTGCTCAGGCAGGCTTTGCCTGGTGGTCCCATTCTTTGTCAGGGTAAAGGAACCTGCTTGAGCTGGCCCCAGCCACTTGCAACTCAGGTTTGTTTAAGTAAAAGCTTAAGTTCCAGTGTTCCCTTAATCTGAGAGCCCTGGCTGCTCCAGCTTGCATTTTACACAGTTTTTTGTTTAAAATAAAAAAAAATAATAAAAATAAAGGAAAGGAAAAAAATTAAGGAAAAAAAAAAAGAGAAGAAAGAAAAGGGAAAAGAAGAATAAAGAAAAAAAGAAAAAAACATTATTTCAGCAATTTCCCTTGGACACTGGGTAGATTTTAAGGGACTTGGGAGGCAGCCCAGCTGTGTGTTTTGCCAGGGTATACAGAGAGTGTCTCATCAGCCCTTTTTTATGCCCACAGCCACAGAAAACCACTCAGCAGGACTCATCCCAGGATACCCTTTTGGGCAAACAGGCTTTTGGTCTGAGCGGTCCATAAACACTGCTTGCTCATGACTGAAGCTGCAAGTGATCAGTGTCCAATGTCACAAAAGTCCTGGGTGGATGGGACTGCAGTGATCCCATCCCTTTCTAGGTAGCAACTATTTCCCAGACCTTTGACATTAGATTTTTGGACTCACAGAGTCCCATCTGGGTCTGTTTATGACTCCCTCCAAGTTGTTTTGCAGCTTGCTTTTTACTGGGTTCACTGTGATCTCTAATTCTCCCAGGAGCAGCCTTGTACCTGCTCAGTGCCAGTGTCTGGTCCAGTGCCTGGACCTCTTCCCTGTTTTTTTACCAGTGTGGGACTCATTTAGAAAGAAAGTACTGCCCAGAGCAGTGATGACCTTGGTATGAATTCAAGCAGCTCTGCCATGCACAACTCAAGCATTTTTGTTTCCAGGCCTCCACTGATAGCTCCAGATGACTTCACATGCTCCCCAATGATCTAGAAAAGGGAATGAAGAAACTCCAGTGAGTGGGACAAGCATTGGTGAAACATCCTTCCCAAGAATCTCAAGGAGCTTTAGTCAGTAAGAATGGCTCACCTAGCAAAGGGGCAAACAGCCAACTTGTTGCCAGGAGGTTTTCATTAATCTCTGGCAGTTTTAAAAATTATCATACAGAATGGGCCAAGAAGCACCAAATGATTTGTGATGTCATCGTTCACCCCTAATGGCTTCATGCCCTTCTGCTGTCTGAGTGTGAGTTAGAGGCAATGTTGGCTGTAGCCCTGAGGGGTCCTGGTGTCATCCTCCTCTTTTGGGGGAAATTGCTGGAATTCCCCCAACCCTAAGCCCAAGGGGAGCTGAGCTGTCCCCGTGTATGACCCCATGATAAGGGACTATAAGCCCCATCCCTGAGGGCCCACACGAGCCCCCTTCTCAGGAGTGATCCCAGGGCAGCACAGAGGGTCAGGCATCACCCCGAACTCTTGTTTGCACTGGAACTCCTCCCAGATTCCCATTCCCAGAACCTCAGCTGCACTTCTGGACTGAGGTGTGTTGCAGTCCTACTCTGGTACTTCCCATGGCCTCCTATCCACCTGCTAAATCATTTCAGACCTGCCTTCCCTGTGATCACATAATGTGTCATATTCCTCTATGGAAAAAGAATCACATCAACGGGCAAAACTCTTTGATTTTCTTTCTTTCTCTCTCCCTCTCTTTTTCTGTTAATATTATTTAATTGAAGTGACTCAACCAATTGAGTGATGAGAATTAATCCAAACCCCTCCTGCCTTTATTACCCTGTAGTCCCGAAGCTAGTAGGGGCTTTTGTTTTTTGTACTGTTTAAATTGGAGTGGCTGTCACTGCCTACAGCCTTTCCCCAGCTTCCACAGCCCTGGGACAAAGTTGCCCTTTAAGCCAAAGGTTTTTTTCAAAGAAACCTTTTCTTTCCACCTTTTTTCCAATTCTCTTTCTTCTTCCTAATCAAAGAGGTTTAGGGACTTTAAAATCAGTAGCCTATTATGTTGCTGACACAATTGACAGCAGGTTTAATTTGCAGCTAGAAGGCAAGCGGGAGAGCTAAAAGTTGTAATAAACGGCATTTTCTGCTCTAATGTATTCTGCCAGTGTGTGACTTACATAAATTATCGCAGGAGGCGGTACCTCCTCCCCAGAAGGAAACGATCCGGTTTCCCTGGAGCCACAGAGACACCTCCCCCCCACCCTCCCGCTTTCCCCCAGCTAATTCAATACCGTTTGAATATCAAAAGAGACTGAGGCGTGGTAGAGGTTTTCCTTCTCTTCTAAATGAACTTCCTTCTCCCACTTCTCCGTGACCTCTAGTCTCAGGATGTTTCCAAAACAACTTTTGATTTTCTCCTAAATGTTAAACATAGGAAGGAAACATGCAGCTCAGGATAATGAAGCAAACACAAGTGCAGCACCTCGCTGCATTTTGCTCCATCAGCACGCAGGGCATGGAAAAGTGAGCAGAGTCACAGGCCTTGCTCCAGACCTCAGGAGAAATCAGGAACTGTGCTCTGTGTGTGCAAGGTACTCTCAAATCCAGGGAGAGTCGTTCTCCTGGCAGGGAAACAGTGGATCAGCTGTTTGTTTGATTGCCAAGTCCTCCAGTACATGGAATGCACCAGGTCAGAATTAAAGGTCAAACCAGTCCTTTCCAGGGTACAGCCACTCAGGTAAGCAGCAGCACTGTTCAGTCCTGGCTGATAAATCAATCTTGTTGCTGGTGAAACAAAAGTGATCTTTCACCAGCACGGTGGAGCAATACTGATTTTATTCAGCTGGGTACATTGAGCTCACCTTGAGCTGTGCCCTGATTCAGAAATGATTTGCAACAAAATGTCTGAGCCCAGCAAAGACCCAGAAAAGTCTTACACAGGATGCCGGACAAGGACTGCAGAAAGTCAAAGGGGGAAGAGGCTTCATCAGAGGACACAAAGCATGAGTGTGTTCTCTGGTGGGGATGCCAAAGTCTGCCAATAGCACACCTCAGCTGGGCTGGAGGAGATCCCACACAGGGGCAGTAGCTGCTAGAATGCCTTAGCCCCTGACTTTGCAATGCAAAGTACAATCTGCTGAAGCCCAGCAATGACCTTTCATAAGTGTCTGCCATACTGAGTGGGTCTGGTCCAGTCCTGTTGGCTCTGCTTGGGTCCCCAAGGGGGTATTCAGGAGTTTTTTGCTTTAGAATACAGGCCACTCTGTGTGGGGCCAGTAGGACTCAGCACTGGTGGGGCTGGAAATCACAATGTAGTCATCCAAGACCTCTGTCTGGGAGGTTGGGGCTCCTGTACCTTCCCTGGGTGGTACGTGGGGACTAGGTCAAAACTCTCACCTTTGCAGAAGCAATGTAGTCATTTTTCAGTTTATCCCAATCAGCTGGTGTTAACAGCAAGGACAGGTTTTCTGTCTTAACCTCTGGTTTGAGCTCAGGATGACCCAGAAAGAATTCACTGGAAAAAATCAAATGAAAAATTGTAATGCCTCAGAGTGTGAATAAACTGATAGAATATTCATGCAGCATGAGCTACATAATTACTAAGCCATGAGAAATATACTTAAAGCTTAAATTGTGCCACTTGTTTTCAAGGTTTAACAAGAAAATCTTTCCTTTCTATTCAAAATCCTAATTATTCAAACCCAAAATGATCTAAGGTTCCAGCCCACTTCAGAAATCATGAGACTTCTGAATTGTTTGGACATGAAAAGTGCTATGAGAATTTACTTTTTAAAATAAACAACGTGAAGCTGACTCATTTGACTAGAAGCTTGCAAAATGCCTTTCAGGGTAATTCCTGTAGTAGTGCATTGCTCTGGAGTTAGCCCATCTCCTGCCTCCCCTGCAGTGTCATGTCACAGCTCATGGCAGCCTGTGTTTGTCCCTGTGCACTATCCTGATCCAGGGGAGGTGGCAGAGCAGGACCTGGAGGGCACTGCCATGCCTGGGACACGAGCCATGTTCCCCTGCAGATGGAAGCGGTGGGTGGATGTGCAGCTACAGAGTCTGACTCCAAAGAGGGCTCAGCTGACACCAGACTTTGCTGCTCACTTTCCTCCGAACTGACATGTAATCAGGCCAGCTGATTAGCACAGAAGCAGGGGAAGGGAGGGAGTGCCTGTGTTCCTCTCTCTGGGGCAGGAAAAATGTTATTAGCCTGCACAATTGAATGTGCTGCTCCTGCAACCTGCCACAGACTGTGGAGGCACCGCATCTTGCAGGGCAGTGAAGGTGGAAATGAGAAAGAAGAAAATATTCATGCCCTTGATGAAGGTGGGGCTTAAGTTTTGAGCTGTCATCTTGTTAATTGAGGAACACATCTGCAATGTCCTTCACACAGCCTGCACATTTGCTCAGCCACCAGAAAGGGTTCCCATTGCCACACCAGCACTGTGCCCACAGCTGGGTTCAGACACAAGTGAGGACTGCAATGTACAAGGTCAGGCTGCTGCAGAGTGACTGCTCAGCAGAAAATAAGTTCAGCCTGCTGGTAGTGTCCTGGAGTCAATGGTTCCATGGTCATGGTTCAGATTTCCCAGAGAGGAACATCTCCACACATGGAGCATTGCACAACCCAGCTGCTGCCAGAGCCTGCTTTTCCTTTTAAAGGAGAACACAGATTTAAATATGGACTCTCCACCACAACTGAAAGGACAAATATGTACTCAAGGGGCCTATTCCTACTTCTTCCACCCCCTTTTTTTTGTTTTTTTTCATCATTTATTTGAATTGGAGTTTGAATTGAGTTTGGGTCAGTCAATCTCTTCCTTTTTGATTATTTATTCCAAGAGACAATGAAGTTTTCTTTGAATGGGAAAATCATATGGAAATAGCCCAGAACAGCCAGGTGATTGCAAACAGTGCCCCAAACAACTGCAAACTCTCAATAAACCCTTTCACAGCAATTTAGAGAAATATGGCAGGGGCACTTTTCTTTGGTACAGAACCTGGCTGCTGAAGCTCATTTTTTTCCTTTCTCTCCTGCAATGCCAGGGTGAGGCCATGCAGGAATTTCCCTTCAGATGAGATCTGCAGGGATTTGTGATGCTGAGGGGGTAACATTCATCATTATGGTCACCATACTCTAGGTGGGCTTTTAAGAGCAACTGGGTTAAGTTCACAGAAGAAACCTCTTGAGGGCTGTTCAAAACAAAGACCACCTGCAAATGAAATGTTTCTTACCCAAAAGCCACCCCAGGCTAGGGGTGTTCTGGGCAACAGTGTGCTGCTGCTTGCCCTGCTCTGTCACTGCCTCCTTTCTGACCATTCTGACCCACTGTTTGGCTCAGTGCTGATACTCCTGCCTTCACTCCTTTGTTTTATTTGAGGGCTGCCAATGGGTTTGTGTTTCTCCCTTCCTTGAACATCTGGTTCAGACCATACCTGGAGGCCAGCTACCAGGACAGACACAACTTTGCTTTGACAGAACTGTTTCCCCATGCTTATTTTCCAGACCCCTGAACTGCAAGGAGCTAGGTCTTAAACCCCTCCCGTTCAACCAACAGACACATCTGAGACAGAGCCTTTGTTTTCATGAGTCTAATTACCTCGATGATGTCTTGACTCCTCTTTTAGAGGACTCCGACCCCATGCATGAGGGTTAATGTGGCCCGTTTCCAAATGTATCAAAATTTTAATTAAACATGAAGAAGACATCCCCCACAGGCCCCTGGCTGTGCCTGGAAAAGTCACTGAACAGCTGTTGGATCTTGCAAAATATATGCAGAAAGGAGCACGTTTATCAGACCAGGTTTATCAAATGCAGGGAGGAGCTTCCTGGTACATGGGAGCAGCAAGTGGGAGAGGGAGAGGAAAATGGGGTGATGTAGATCTGTAAAAAGCAGTAAGTGCTTTATCCACAGACCTTTATCCCCACCTATTAACAGATTTGTTATCTGGCTCTACTATAGTCACTGCATCTCTCTTGCTTTCTTGGAAAACTGAAAATGGCCTGGTGCTTTTGGAGTACCCCACAGCCCCATGGCTCCCTGGAGGAGGCAGAGGCATTGTGGCAAACACAGCAGCTCACCTTTGGTAGGTGTTGGCCACCCAGTTAAGCAAGGTGTAGAGCTCGTGGAAGTCCAGTGGTCCCTGGGAGAGTTCTTGCAAATGTGAGGCAATGGCATTGTGAAAAGCTTCCACATATGTGTCACACACCTGGTACTCCTCTGGATAGCATTTTTTTACTGATGACTTGATTTTCAGTAAATCTTCCTTCAGGTGTTCCTGGAGGAAATGTAAGTGGAGATCAAGCCAAGAAGTTTCTTCTTCCCTTGATGCCATGGGCACCTTCAGGACTCTTTTTCTTGCACTCTCGTTGACAGCTTCCCTCCATTGCTCCCTCCACTTTCTGGGCCTGCCCAGCAAATCTGAGCCAGGACGAGCAGCATTGTCTGTGCTGGAATGAGCTGCTTCTTCAAGGGGAATTAAAGTCACCATGGAGGTCAGCATGCTATGCTGTAAAGTGGGATCCTCCAGTGTTTCCTCCACTATGGACTTGATTGCATTTGTGATGGAGTTATAAAGCAAATCCACATCCCTGGATTTCCGTACAAGCTCCTGGGGGTTATCTCTGTATTTCTCAGAATCCCGTTCAGAGATGGTCTCATCTTCCATTAGCTTGATACTTGCAAATGCTTCCAAAAGTTGTCTTTTCTGAATAAGTTCATTGATTTCCATTACTGCAGAAACAAGGGGAAGGGGTTGAGACAAAGCAGGCATTAGGCTATTGACAGGTTGGTAGCAGGACAAGATGCCCGACAGGGAGAGTAGTCAGGTCCCAGCAGTGCCTCTGAGACTGCCCCTGGGCCTCCCTGATCCCCCCAGCTCCTCTTGGACACAGGAGGGGAAAACAGTGGGAAAGCAATCACTGCAAATTGAGCCACATCCCTAAACAGCTGGTTGCAGGAATATCAAAAAACCTGCTGATAGCTCTGCAGGAAGGCCTCAAGCAGTGGCTGGTGAGGCTGTACAGAGGGACACTGGAGACTCAGGATGCATCAAACTCTGCCTCTCTGGCTCTGTCCCTCTGCTGGTGTGGAGATGAAGTGGAACTGGCAGCAGGAATGGTTCAGGATATGCCTTACCAGCAGGATTTCCTTTAGCATAAATGTCCTTGTTTCCCTGCATCCCACTGTGCTCAGCATAGCTCTGCTGCTGTGTTGGCCATTGTGGGGTAGCCCAGCTCAGGCACCTCTGGCTAAAAGGGCATTTCAGTGTGCTGCCCAAGAGAGCAGAAGTGCCCAGGGTTCTGGCTGGGGCAGTGGGAAGGAGCACAGCAGGACAGACCCCTTTGGATGTCCTGAACTCTTGGGTCAGGTCTCTCTCTCCATGGTTATGTGTGTCCCAGCCTACCCACAAGCATGTCCTCAGAGATACCAGGGCCCTGAGAGAGCTCCTGTCTGTAAGCCCCACAGTCAGGTGCCAAGCACTGCCTCATACCAGTGATGTTTTTTTCCCTAGTGCTGAGCACTGCTGTCCCTCAGTGGTTTGGGGAGGTGTGGGCATTGCAGGGGCATCTAAACCTGTGGATCCATGGTGCTCCTGGTACTCAGGTCTCACTTGGGTTTCTCCACCTCCTTCGCTTTTGGCACTCACTGCCACAACAGGCTGGTGTTGGCTGGGGAGAAGTCACCCAATACTGCTCCTCCCAAAGTGGCTGACGTCTACTGAGTTTCCCACCTGTTTTGTAAAGTCTTGCTCATGCAAGAACCCCTGCCTATTTGCCAGTAAGATAAGAAGTATTTGCCATGTGTTGAGGAGATTCCAAGAGCGCTGTTAGCTTTTGAGAGACCCCTCGGGAAGCTCTCACCCTCTCCATCTCCCTAACAGATGCTTTGAACAGGAGATCCCACTCTGACACTGGGCATAAGAAAAATACTAAAGAGAAGGGAGAAAGGGTGTCCCTTAGGCATGTGTGACCACTGCTTCTGGGACATACACATACAAAATGATACAGTAAAATTGGAGAGCGCTCCAAGAAGGACTGGTTCATAGCACATCATTTCTGTCCTTAGGCTTGTCTGCACACAGGTTTTATGCCATATGTACCAAGTAATCTTTGTAGCATAAGAGTATTTTTATGAAGACAGAAATATGCCAAATAACCAAACTACTGATGCATTACAGAACACATAGATCTTTGAGTGCCTACATCGTGCTACAGTTGCTTCTGCACTCAGAAAAGAGGGAAATTCTACCAATTAACTTAGTCTCTTCTAGATAAATTAATATAAAACCTGTGTTTACACAAATGCTTGCAGTGAGAGACTAGAGAAATACATTCTGTTCTGTTTATCAAAGTGAGAAAACACCATTTAATCACCATCTAGGATAATTATTCAGGGAGGTGATGTTGGGTGCTAAATGGATCTTTAATTCAGCAATACAAGATCAGCCAGCTGGTGGTTGAAGGAAGACAATTGAAAGGCAATTAGCTATTATGCAGCTTAATGGTGCACGTGGTGGAATCTCCATCACTTGCCATATTATCTCAGGATGGGATGTGTTTTTGACAGAGCTGCTCTAGCCCAGGCCAAACACAAGCTATTGGGCAGAGAATGGGCCTTATTCATGCAATTTCTCAGCTCGTTTATTTCAGGAGATGAGAAAGCTTGTGATAACATTTTCTGCCACTCCTCATCTCTGACCCTTGGAGATCAGACTAGCCAAGTTTATGAGATGGGCTCCAGCTTACCAAGCTCACAATGTATCAATGTAAAGCAGTAGATCACTTCCCAGCACAGTAGAGCATATTACAGCAGTGGGGCAGTGTCAGCCCACGCATCTGATCCCTGTGGCACCCCATGCAGTACACCAAGAATTTCTTTCTAGAAATTTAGGCTGAGGAAAGGCCAAGTCATGTTTCACCTCAGTCTATCTCCACGTGAATGCATTGTAGCAACGCTGCCTTGAGAAGGTGGAGGACAGCAGTGCTCAAACCATTATCAAAGTCATTGCAGTCTGCTCACACCTGGGGAAAGGTGAAAGCTGTGCTAAAGGGAATTGTTATAATTTGTCTGAGACCTATCTATAAAATTCTGACAAAACACATGAGATTAACCAGCCTGAGGAAGACCAAAATCAAATACTTGCAACATTGCTGTTGTGAGGACAGGTGGAAAGTCAATGCAGAGAGTGCAAAATATCTGTGGAACTCTCTTTGCAAGGCAGTCTCTAAGATTTGGAACCAAAGTGGAGCTTCCAAACCAAATCAGAGCCAAACCATCTTTCTTCCCCTCTAGGCCTTGCAGCACCCTACAGAGCACAGTTGGAGGACCATGAGTCTGAGAGCTGAAGAGCAGAAATTGTCCAGGACAGCAATGCAGGCAAAGCACACTGCACTTGTAGGTATTGTCAGACCAGCAGTTCCCAAACTGTGCTCAGCAGCTTGGGGACTGATCCGTGTGATGGGCAATATCACACTGACAGGTTGAGAGCTTGGCTGCTGATATGGCTGAACTAGTGCAGGGGAGGCACAGAGCAGCATGTTCAGTGACAGAGCCTTGCCTGGGCTGGGTGACACACCAACATGCAAGGGGTGCCCAGTTCTTTAGCACCTCTGTTGGGCCCAAGCCTTGCACACTGTAAATTAATGTTACATTTATCCTCCCAGGAAAATGGCACTGGTGGTTTTGTGTCTTACCTGAAAGAGGTTTTGCTTCAATGGGCTCACATATTTCACCAACCTTCTCCATGCTATTACAGATTGTAGGTTTGTTCTCCTCATAGCTCCTGAGTGTTTGCAGAAGCCTTTTTGCATTCCAAGTGCCAGTATCTTCCTTCCCTCTCTCTTTCTTCATTCGTTTTGATTTCCGGATGCTTAACATTGTTTTAATGCCTCTTTCAAAGAACCCACTGTCCCTGCTCTGCCAGTCTGAGCTGCTCAGTTCAGAAGTGACCTCCATCTTTTCTTCCCCTGGACGCTTCAGTGGAGAGGCTGGTTCTGAAGCCACACTCCTTGTGTCTAACTCCATATTTCCATTTATCTGGTCCTTCACCAGGAGGTTTACCAAACAGGTTGATGGCAATCACTGAAATGCATAAAACAGCAGAATTAGAGATGTCCTTAACAGGGTATTACTGTGTCTCCAAAGTCAGTCCTGGACTAAAAATCAGACCTCATTCCTTTCCTGTGCCTAAATACAAGGACAGAGCAAGATGTTGTAGCCTGTAGCTGCTGAAACAATTTCTCTACCCACAGACAGCAGATGCTGGCCTGCACTTGGTGCTCTGGAAAGCTTCACTTAACTCCATAAAACACGTGGCAACTATTTCTCTAGCATCAAGGAATCATGAGATATCAGAGATGTTGAAATTTGTGTAAACATACCATTTCAGTGAGTAACCAGATATGGTTTTACTTTCCATTCTTCTAGGTGGATTTCCAGCCATGCAGGAATAATAATCTTCCTGATTATCGCTGGGTTGTTGCCACTTTCTGATGTGAATATGGCATCTTTGGGTTTTGTTGCTACTTCTGCCCTGCTCAAACCCTGAGCTGCTGCAGCAGCTGCTGCTGCTGCTGGAGGTGGCCCAGGGGTGAGTGGTTCCCAGCAGGTGGCTGAGCTGTGCTTTAGACCCTTCCACCAAAGCCACAGCTGTCTTTGCACTCTGAATTGTCATGGTTACAGCACAGGAGGCAGTACAAGGCAGGAAGGGTTCACATCACTCATTCTGCCTCATAGCACTGCATCCCAGCATGCCAAGGATGGGGATCTCCAGGGTCAAACAAACTCTGCACAGGCCACAGGGGATGCTGTGGAGATTCCAGGGAGATTCCAGATTTCCTGTCAGTGCTGCTGGGCTGCAGTCACAGCCTCTGCACTTGCTCAGTTCCTGCCCTGCTGCAGACAACTTCCCCTCTGCCCACCCTGAGGGCTGCCCAGGTGTTTGGGAAGAGGGAGGAGTGAAGTTTTGCCTTCCCTCACTTGCAAAGGGCTCCCAGACCAGCTGATACAGCCCATTCACAGAGCCATTGTACATTGCAGTGCCCTGAGACTGGAAAATGTCACATTTCTCCAGAGCAGGCTTAAGGCAGCTGAGTGAACAATTCAAATTATTAGAAACACCTATTGCTTGAGGTGACACAGGAACTGCCTGTCTTGGGTCTGTCCAGCCCACAGAAGCCAGAGATTGAAAAATAATTGCAGTCAATAGACATGTTGGGACTCTAGAAATAGATTTCATCCTTCCTCAGTCAGAGTTTTGCTCCCTTGTGCATGGTTATTTTACAGGCTGTGAAGTGCAGGGATGACATCTTCCCATGGGTTTGCTGAGCTGCTCACCCAGTGGGGCACAGACCCTGCCTCACACACTCTCACAGGAGGGAGTGTATTTAACCATTCACTGCCTTGCTCAGGAGCTCACCATTACAGCCCATACAGAGGGTGGGAGGAAGAGGAGGGCACCCCAGTGCCCAGGGATTGCAGTGAAAGGAGGCTGAGATCTCCACTCAGACTCTGCAGGGGGGTTCTGCAGACAGAGCAGAGCTGCAGCAATGCTCAAAGGGGTGACTGACATGATGGAGAGAGGCAGGGGGAAAGGAATAAGAGGTGTGAGCCCATGAGAAAGGGAAGGAATACATACCCCAGTACTGACAGAAGTGATCCCCTCCACAGCAAGCTGGGATAGCCCAGGTGTGATCCACAGAAACTGGGAGCAGCTCCGTGCTGCAGGAAATGCAGGGCAGATGCAGTGGCGGGTGAGCAGCGCTGCAGGACAGAGCTCACCCACCTCAGCTGACTGGGGCACCATCCCTCACACACGTGCTGGCCGAGGGGCTTCCTCTGGGAATGGTGCTGCTCTCCATCCTCCTTTACCCTCTGAAAAAGGCTGTTAAAAGTGGAAAAAAAGGTCTGTCTGCTCCTGCCCAAGAGCTCCAGCACCTTCACTTGTTTGATCTCTGGAAAGGACTCAGCACTGTTTCACTTTCACTACACTGAGCATTTAAAAGAAGAGGTGGGGAAAAAAAAATTCCAGATTAATTATTACCCTACAAGGTGAGACAGGGCCTCAAACCAGGGGTTCTGCAGTGGGGTGAGCTGCTGCATTGAGACGGCCTGGGGCAATGAAGGGAAGGAGCATTTCAGGATGAAGTTCTGTCCTGATGGGCTGAAGCCCCACATTATCTGGGTAGGGGGGTTCAAAAGCAGCTCCAGAGCTCCTGTGTGGAATGGCTGCATTTCACCCCCTTCTGCAGGTCAGAGTTTGTGCAGGTCATGGGTGGTTTGGTCCATGGGTGGTAATGATTGCCAGACTTGGGTGAGGGACAGGGAGTAATGTGTCCCCTGGTTAAATATTATATATTCACATCCTCACTTTGCCCTGTGGGCACTTATTTTCATGGGGTTGCTAGCCCTGGATCTCTCCATTCTCAGAGAATTTGAGAACCTTAGAGGGACCTCAAAGTAAAAGAGATGGATAGATGCAATAAATGACATTTGGACTTGGTGCTGTGCAGAGGAAAACAGAAGGAGGGAATGGAGGATAACAGTCTCCTCTATCTCTGGGAGGGACTGTGTGTTCAGGAGATGGAAAGTGTGTGGGGTGGGAATAATAATGATCATATTAAACAGGGAAGCGTGGCAGCATGGACTTGGTGTGAAATTGCCCTGATGGTGAGATGGGACTGGGTAGAGCATCGTTTGTGGCTGCCCCATGGGGCAGGGGGAGTCCTGCCTGAAGCCTCCCTCAGCCAGGCAGTGCAGTGCTGAGTTTCCTGTCCTTGGGCTCTTCAAAGTCATGTGTAAGCCAGAGACTGCCCTGCTGTACAGGGGAAAACCATTAGTGATAATGCTTCTGCCACCAGGCAGGCTGACAATGTGAACAAAGGAATGAGTTGTTTATTCAGACACAGGTTGAAGGGTGGAAAGTCCCTTTGGACACAAAGTCCAACTAAACCTCTTTCCATCCAGGTTTTAATTGCCTCATTCACAAAATATTTACATGGTGTTGGTTTGTACAGACAGCCTCACTGTGACTGGTGTGCTGCCAGAGCAGGCAGCAGGTCCAGCATGGTTGGGGTTCTGATCTGGACTTCTCTGGGGGCTGTCAACTACCCCAAGACACATCTAGCACCAGGGCCTGCTGGGATGTCAGACAGAATCCTGAGGGAGCTCTGAGTCTCACAGTCTAGGTCACCTCTTTCCCTACAAGCCTTTCTGGTGCTCTGTCCTAGCAGCAGCTCTCAAGGAATGCTCCTGTTCCTGGAAATGCCAACAGGGCAATGCTGCTTCTAGGTGTCTGTCCACAGAAGGTCATGGGAAATGAAAAATGTACTAGGTTTTGCAGCTGTTTTCCATTTTTCTTCAATTATGGCTTTGCAAAATGTTCTGTCAAGTTGTAGGTGTATTAAAATCTGCAGGGGTGTTGCTGTCTAACAGCTCCCTAATGCTCTGCACCCACAATCCTTGGTGAGGCTTTCAACTGCTGCTTTGCCTCCTGACCCTTTGGAATATTTGTTTTGGGGTTTATTTGATCCCTCATCTCTTGTCTGTGTCTTTTGCTCATATTTGTTGTCTTTCTCATTTCTTTTCCTGCAATAACACCAGTGGAGCAGTGCAGCACTCCAGAGGTGCAGCGTTCCTTGGCAGAGGTGAGGGGCAGGGAGAGTGGTTTGGGTGAGTCCTGCAATTCCCTCCATAGCACTGAGGTTTTCATCAGCTCCAAAGACCAGGAGAAAAACATGCTGCTGAGGCTCCAGGGGAATACTGACATGATGCATGTTCAGAAAGCTGTGCCAGATGCCCCCTCACAGCCTCAGCAACCCAGCTGGCACAGCCCTGCTGGGGCATGCTGTGACCCACTCCCTTTCTGCAGGTTTCACTTGAAATCTCACCCTGTGTGGGTGGAGGAGACCCCAGAGCTGCAGTGATTTATTGCAGCAGTGAGGTTTGATATTTTTAACAGCATAGGCAATGATGGATGAGGCAAAAACATGCTTGGAGGCTGCACATGCCTATGCAGCCATTTCCTCCTGAGGAGTGGTTTGCAAGGAAATGAGAGATATTGTTTCACCTGAAATATTTTCCTTTCTGCTTTTAGGTTGAGGGAGGTTTGAGCCTTAAGCTGAAAAGTCCATTTGCAGTAAAGAAGCAGGTTGTGATTTAGAGGCTGGGTTTTACAGAAGGGATGTTGGCCCCCAGGTCTGAGTGGAAGAATTTGGAAGGTGCATTTCTGCAAAACACAGGAGTGTTACCACATCTGGGAGAGGATGTGGTCCAGACCTAAGGATTGTGTCCTACACTGTTCCTGTGTAGCCATGGGAGGAGACCACTTGAACTAGTACATATCACACCAGGAAACAAAATCACAAATGCTCACCTTTGCAGAAAGGTGGCCTAGGAGGATTTTCCATGAGGGCTGCCACTGCTGTGGAAGTCCATCCTAGGTGCTTTTGAAGGTTAGACATCAAAGTTTTCCTTCCTCTCCTCCTAGAAAAAGTCTGGAACAGGCCTGTTCAAGCAGGATCTCTCACACTGTTTTTCTTCCTTTGAAGTGAAATTGTTTTAACACCTTCAGCAAGCCACCAGCCCCGTGTGCTATGCCAGCTGTGCTGAAGCATGCCAGGACTCACGTGAGCCCAACAGGAATGGCAGGGATGGGAGACAGGCTCTGCCACTCTCCTGATTCTTGCTGCAACAGCCCCACAAGCACGTTTTGCCAGCAGGCACAGACCAGCCCCCAGAGCTGTGTGGTGCAGCCAGGGCTGGGGCAGTGCCTGTGAGCTCCTCCAGCCTGGCAGCAGCTCTGCTCCTGGGGATGCTCAGCTGGTGCATCAGGAATGCACTGTGGTGAGCATTTCCTTCTGCTTGTTTGTGAGTGCTGTGAGCTGCTGGGTAGATGGATGGGAATTGCTAATAGCTGGCTGTGCAGGTTTGCATTTTGGTTTGCAGTAGGCATCAGCAAGGCCAGGTGGAGTCCATCAGCCCAGCCTTGAGACTGAAATGTCACAGCTCATCGGCTTCAGGTGGAA